AATATCTTTTTTCAATCTCCCTCTTCTCCCTGGAAGTAGTATCTAATATCGATTTTCTCTGCTTAAAACTTTTTAGAAATACTTTCACTATGAATATTTTATGTATGTATTTATCGCCCACCCACCACTTATGATGTTGACGACGACTTGGTAATGCTTGATAAACTCCAGGAGTTCTCTTGTTATTCTTCTTATTTAATTATTATCGAGGATTTTAATTTCCCCAGCATGAATTGGCCAATAACGCACGTTCCGAAGACTTGTTTATGTTCTTAGTTCTCTTAAATTTATATCAACTAAGAACGGAACCCACTGATTTCGATTCAACAACGAACCATCCACCCTTGCCCTCGTTTTAACCAACGACGAGCATCTCATTTGGAAGTTGATCCTCCCATCGGCTAATCTGATCACTCAGTTATACTAACTGCTCATATACAAAAAATTCACGTATTTTCAATGTCACTGACTTTGTCAATGTTAACCATAAGTTATCTCTTGTAAAATGGAATACTTGAAATACACTACTGGTCTACTCCGTTAGTTTCATTTCAAAATTAGAACATTTTCACTAAACTACTGTGAATTGTATCTCTAAATATACTACAGGGTGTCCCAGTGTCGGCGTACAAAAATTTACCAGGGGGTAGACCAGACCAAAATAAGGTTAAAATTCTTATAAAATATTTTTCTGCGATGCATTTTCACTGAGTTACAGGGTGTTGTTTAGAAAAAAGTAATAACAACTTTCCGCAATAACTCAAAAACCCTTTCAAGGATTTAAGTAATTTTTGGGTGAAATGTACATTTATTAAAGATCATTAAAACTACATAGTGCTTAAATAGAATTAAAAATTATGGAACAGAAACGAAATCATGCTAGCAAAATGACAATATAAAAAATAAAAATAGAANATTCTCAATTATTATTGTTCGTTATTCAACTCTCTAATTCTAACTAACTTATCCTTCGTTTCTATTCCTGTATCCAACTACCTTGTTTATATAAAAATGTTTATAAAATTATGAACAATCAGTCTATTCAGCGTTTCGGGACACGCACACTGGCCTTGGCGTTCCAGCCACCGTCGCTCGGTCTGTCTTTCCCGCTCTTCATAACAATAGGTTCATTTTTTCCAATCCAGCGTTCTGGAAAATGTAAATCGAGCCACGCAGATACCTGCCTTCCATTACGAGTAGGTGCTCCATGTTGTGGCTAGTACATTTCATTTCGCAAAGCTAAGAGAACGTCATCTAGTACGCCATCAACAATATTTTCTAAAAAATCCGTGTATCTCTCTGAATTCAAACAGTCTACAATAATTTGAGGAGGCAGAATGATTCCGTTGAAGATTTCACCTCCCAGAGATTTATGGAGAATCTTCTTTGAAACGCAAAGTGTCATATCACATGCGGATTTTCAATGGATCAAACATGAAATTTTTTTTAATTATTTATAGCATTTCTCGTAAAGATAATTTCATCGCTCCATAATATCTTCTGATGGAAATTTTCGTCATTATCGATATTTTCTAACAACCTGCAAAATTGTATCCTTTTTTCGGAATCACCAGGATACAATGTTTGTACTTTATGTAGGTGATATGGGTGCAGTTCTTCTGGGTTAAGTTCATGGAATACCTACTTGCGTTGATATTCTTCGGACACTGGTGGAAGGATCATCAACAATAGCAGCTATTACATTTTCTTTTAAAATGTTTGCATCTTCCAAATTAAGCCTCTCGTGAGGCCACCAGTCAATTTCCATGACAGAAACCGTACACAAATATCATATCGGCATATTCGTTGTTGGAAAATTTGATAATCTTGTTGTTTTGTAAACTTAGTTTCTCATAACTTCGAGTACCGTAATTAATTTTGACATGTACGCTTGTAAACAACTTTGTTTCTTATAATGACAGGTACCTACCAGATAACAACAAATAAAATTTTTACATGCATTTTTTTACGAATTATTAGATTATTTAGCAAGCGATTATTTAGATCTAATTTACTCGAAAACGGTTCATTTTTGAGCTATGAAACAAAAGCCCATTCAGAATCGATTGCAGATTCAGGAAAACGTAATCAAATTACATAAAACTAGGATATGCAAAAGTTATGAAGACATAACCTTGATGACAAGTTGGCCTAGGCCGCCCCTGGCGTTAGATTGAAGTAAGCACCATGTAGTTTTAATGACCTTTAATAGATGTACATTTCACGCAAAAATTACTTAAATCCCTGAAAAGGTTTTTGAGTTATTGCGGAAAGTTGTTATTATTTTGTTCTAAACAACACCCTGTAACTTAGTGAGAATGCATCACAGAAAAATATTTTATAAGAATTTTAACCTTATTTTGGTCTGGTCCACCCCCTGGTAAATTTTTGTACGCTGACACTGGGACACCTTGTATACAGAAACATGTTCATAAGAATAATTTAAAACTTTGGATCGACTTGGAATCCACTTGCCTGGTTAGGCACAAGAGAAACCTTTGGAAAAATTTAAAGGAATAAATGACATTTCGGATTTTGTAGCTCACCGCCGTTTTTCCAATTATCTAAAGAAACATTTCGCTGCATCTAAAAAAGCTTATGAAGAGTCTGTCATAAGCAGCAGGAATTCTAAGAAATTTTTCAAATATATTAGATCTTCTTTAAACTCTAAAGATTCTATACCCCTTCTACGTGGAGAAAATGGTGAAATATATGATTATATCAAGACACTTCGGAAATACTTTCTCTCGCCTTCTCCAAAGTTTATACTGATAAACCTTCTCATGATCCTCTCCCACCTATTCTCGGATCGTGTGTTGTGTGCTGCTTGGAGAACATTGAATTCACTTCAGATACAGTTAAAAAACCTTTTATGAAACCTCGAAAAGATGCCTCCCCTGGTTTGAATGGCTTATCGTCTTATCTTCTAAAAAGTGTTAATGCTCTTACATTGCCTTTGTCTATGATTACGTTCGTCATTTTCAAGCGATATTGTTTTATCCATGTGGAAACAGGCCTCAGTTACACCAATCTTCAAGAAAGGATACAAATTGGATCCCAATAACTACCGCCCAATCAGTCTTTTACCCACAATTTGCAAAATCATGGATTCTATCAGTGTGGAGGGTATGGCAGATTTTTTACTACAAAAAAACGTTATTCCCGTACAGCAACATGGATTTGTTAAAAACCGCTCCACATTAACAAATCTAATTCACTGCATAAACGACTAGACTCTCGCTCTATACTAGATAATAGTGATCCTATAGATGTAATATAGGTACCTAGACTTTGCAAAAGCTTTTGATAGGGTTTTGTTTGTAGGCTTCCGCGGCTGTCGTTAATGGTTGAATGATTTCCGGGCTGGTTGCCACGTCATCGATTTACGACTCTTGACGTTTCGCTCTCTTCTTCAGAAGTTACTCTGAAACTGGAGATCTACTAATCTTGTCACTATGTATTTATATTTGATGTGGTCACTGATCCATAAGTTCCGATGGGTGACCTCGTACGCGTTGTTGACGTTCCAGTGGGTTGCTTTCACGAATGACTCTCGTCCATATACCTGGCAGATCCACACCACCATCCCTGTTGAATTGTTCAGATATTTGTAAATTTCTGTATAGTCGGGGCCAAAACTTCTCTCTCTCACCATGTTGGCTTCACTCAGACGCACAGTGAATCTGAAAAATGGCACACTGTCGAGGAAAGGTTTCAAGATATTTGAGAGTTTGTAAAATAAAATTTAAATACGATATGTGGGAGGAAAATAGTTCGAATAGTTACAATAAATATTCAAATTGTCGTCCATTGACTTGGTAACAATATCACAGCCGATTTCACAATTATGCATAGAGATTCACAAATTAATTTGAGTAAGGTATTTTTTTTGGGTTCGGAAATGACTTTGGAAGAAACGGCAAACAGGAATAACCTTCATTGATCTCTATCAAATTAGATTAGATTAGAACTGTGGTGGAAACATTTTACGTCCCATTAAAATTTAACTTTAGAAACTCAAATATCACAAATACTTTCATCATCATCGTCTCTTTCTTTACAACGCTGTTCGCAGAAAGGAAGTATTTGTTAAATTGTATAATAAAAACCTCCTCTATTTGAATCCGTCACAAAGAAATATGGGTTTCCAATAAAAAAATAATGATGATGTCATCCCTAGAAAACTATCACAGCCAGAAATTGATCTTTCTGTAGAAATATGATTGTGTTTTTGGAAAACAAAAATTGTTGATTTGAATTTAAGTAAATTTATTTCTTTATTACATTACAATGGAATGACAGAAATTAACCGGAAAGTCTTGAAAAAGTTGCAAGTTATGAAGTTCTAACTGACAAACAACAAATTATTCTACCTATCTTCATATTATATTAAATTTAAAATAAAAGTTTACTTACTATTTTACAATTGTCTTCTTTAAGTAAGATCGCGAATTTTTATTTGCAAAATGACTTTTTTGACTAAACCCCATATTTAAGCATTTTTTGAGTTCTCGAACAACTTTGTTAAATACAGTTTTTAACGAAAACAATAATTAAAGACACTGCTTAGGGAAAATTTCCCATTTTGTAATTTTTATTGCATATTTGATTACTGCCATGGCTTCTCAAGATAAGCAAATCTTTTTATCGAGAATAACTTTTTCTCAAAACATCAACAATAAAAAAAAATTATAAGTGTGTGTGGTACCCCTTCCGGGGTCCGAAAATATAATGAAAGAAATGAAAAATAAATAAATAAATAAATCGTTTATACATATATTTGAAAATATTTCATAAAATTTTATAGAGAAAAGTGGTTTAGAATCAAACCTTGCAGTCACTGCCATTTTTTGAAATAACCAAAGGAAAAGGGCTTAAGCGTTATTGAAATATATTTCCGAACTTTTTAAAAAATGAAAAATTATTGATTGCTGCTTGCTCAGTATGTATATTATAGTTCTATTGTAATCACGTAGTATACATAAAAATTAATAAAAACATTATATGTCAGAATTTTCTTTGATCCATTCCACGTATTTGGCTACTTTAGTATAAACGAGGGGGTATTCTCTGAAGCAGTTGGCTGGGATATACGCAGCAAGTCCAATTTGTACGTCACCGAGAGTCAATGGAGCTCCAGCGTTTCCACAGCAAGCGCTTTTACTACCAGTCAACTGACAAATGCTACTTCCTTCTACAACTATTTGTTTGTACCATGGATTATCTTTAGTACTCTGGTTGTAGGATATTATAACGGATTCTATCCATTTCAAATTTGGTTCAACGTACATCTGAGCTTGATTATAGCGCCCCATCCAGTTACAGCTGCTAAGTTTTATGAGCCCAAGATCCCATTCGTATTCACCTGATTTCTAGTTCTTAGGAATGATGAATTCTGAGGATTCTACTATCACTTGATTTGGCGAAAGCTCGTCTAATAGTGGATTACTGTAACCTTTGTAGCTCTGAAATAAATATGATTTTGTTAATCAAATGAAACAAATATAAATATAAAGGTCGTGAACACCCTCGGAATAAAAGAAATACAAGACACATTCTTCTTTGTCGACAATCTTTTTTTATTTAATTTAATACTCATAATGTAAGAACCAATACATTAGGTATTACAAATTTTTAACGACTGTAGATGAATTTATATATTTACTGAGGCTATACCTCTAAGTGTCTTCTACTTCTTATTTAATTTTGTTAAAATGCTTCTGTAGCTGTTTATAATGTTAATGTACTCAACATTTTCGTTTTTATGTTCATTATGTAATACTTATTTCTATAAACTATCGGAAAAGGAAACCATGTAACCTTATGTGTTCAAAATATCTAATATTAAATATTTTTTAGTCATAATAGTTTGTCGTTGATTTTTACATACTTAGCTAGACAACGGGTTGCGGTGAGTACATAATTTTCAGAAATAAGGGAAACAGAACCACTGCAAATTTCATCGACGAGGGGTTCCACTGCTTCAGGAGAAACGATGTAAATAGCAGCTTGGTAAGGAAATTGGTTAGCGAGAGCATCATATCCACCGGCAATTTTTCCATCAATCTGTAATAAAGACATGAAATAAGATAAACAACATACAGTTGCCTGAATATTTTAGTATCTTAACTTTTATTTGAAAAATGCTTTATAACATTGATTACTGAATATTTTAAAACTGCATTATTAATTACAAATTTTTCGTGAAAATCTGAGATAGTATTAAAATAAAATCAAATTATGATAAAAGTAATGAATGTAATTATGGTAGATAATAAGAAAGAAACGGTCTAATATTTTCTAATTATAATTTTAATTTAGTAATTACATGCACTGGATTCTAGTTTCTAGTAAATATACAATTGAAATCTACATGTTTAATTAAATATAAGCAAATTGACAAGTCATCAGGTGTTACAGCTTACTGCGGGGCTGCCTAATGCCAAATTCAAGGAAGCAAAGACAGACACTATCAACAAATTACGCGCCATTATAGTGTTTAGTGACTGTTCACACTGCTGGTGAAATATTTGTGATCCTATTTATACTAAAATATTACCTTGTCAAGTGGTTTTAGTGATAATGATCTTTCTCACTTGACATTTTTACGACTTTTATTAATATCCCAGATTTCATTCCTTCACCAATGCAAAGGATAAAAAAAAGATAAGTTGTTGATGCCCTGTTAAATTCACAAAATTATCTTTTAGGGAAAATTGACACTGGTATAGGATATGGAATGATCTTCTTTAGTAATTACAATAGAAACTAATAAGGCAATTAAAAAAAATAAATTAAAAACGTGTTGAAAAGTTGAAAATAGTTCAGTGCATATAAGTGGAGATATTGATGTTTTGAATACATTTTTTTAGTTTGCTTTTGAGCCCATTATATTAACAGGTGGTAGCAAATTAAATAGTATAGTGATGTATATTTTTTATTTTTTTTAATTTTGTTTTATGTGGAATATATTATGCCGTGTTCTGTTTATTATTATTTTTGCTATTACTATTATTATTGTTACTGTTTTTACAATTACATTATAGCGGCGGTTGGTGACAATTGAAATGGTCATATTGTTATAAACAAGTATGGGATCCAAACCTTTTTAGCGGACAAAGAGAACTTTCATAATGAAAAAAATTTGAACGAAATTTGCAAAATAAATAATTAAAATAGAGGCAGCTCTCCTGGAAAACGGTTGCACGTTTATGTGCAAAGTATTTTTTGTTTCATAATCAACTAGTAAATGTAATGGATTTTTTTTATCACAAAATGTTACTTATTTTTATTAAAGTTACAGCATTCTGAATTTTGAAAAATGGGGTAGGTGGTATTATTGTCAATTAAAAATGAAATGGGCATACACCTAATTGTATCTATCAGTTGATTATTAAAAAAATATTTTGCACTTGTAAGAGGGGAATCCTTCCTTTTTGGGAATCTCAGGGCGGAGGGGCTGCCTCTATTTTAATTACCTATTTCGTAAATTTCGACTCAAAGATTTGCATCACGAAATTTCTCTTTCCGGGTCTAGAAATTTTCTCCTAAAAAAGATATGGATCCCATGCCTCTATGAAAATATGGCTACTTCAATTTACACCAGCTGACGCTACTATATGTATTACCTTATACTGGGTGCCTGCAAATTTCACCGACAACGTTTGACTGCATATTCAGGACGATAAATAAGAACGATCTACGAAAAAAAGTTAAATGAAAAATTTTTGGTTTTTGAGTTACAAGTTTTCAAAGTTGTCAAAAATAAAACTATTTTAATTAATAACTTCATAACCCTTTTGCCGATCGGGGCACATTTATTCGGACTATTATGGCGTATTATTTCTTAAAGCTTTAGTCAAATCAATATACTGGGTGATAGTTTTCTCCGGTTACCTTTCCCTTTTAGAGGTCAAAACCTTTGAAGTGGTCGTATTTTTTAAAACGGACAGCAACCTTGAAAAGGTTGTTTCATTAAAAAAAAAATTGTTCCTTGGCAAAATCGCTTACAGAAAGCAATTCTTGAGAAAAATGGCGTTATTTGCAGGTCTGTGCGTTTCGGTTTGCATAGCAGTGTCACGGATTTAAAACTTTGAGTTCAGTAGGCGATGAAAACAAGATGTTGATTGCTGTGGCTATCAGGTAATGTCATTATGGTCGTGTTTCTTTAGGATTATCATTACTCCACACATGCAAATTATGAAAATTTACAATTCCGTTCCTTCTAAAACAAGATTTGTCGGTACAAAACTATTTTTGAAGCAAATTATTATCTTCTGCGAAGCCATTCACCAACCAATGGCAAAATTATAAAAGTGCGTTGGGATCTAAATGTTCAAGTTCTTGAGCAGGAGTTAAATGTAATGTCCGAAGAAGTTGCTTTATTAAAGTTTTGAGAACATTAGTTTTACATACATTTAATTGTCTTGATACACTGCGGACACTTCATAATTTGCATGTGTGGGGTGATGAGAATCCTAAAGAAACACAACAATAATGATATTACCTGATAGCCACAGCGATCAACATCTTGTTTTCATCGCCTACTAAACTCAAAGTTTTAAATCCATGACACTGCTACGCAAACCGAAACGTACAGACCTGAAAATAATGGCAGTTTTTTCAAGAATGGCGAGGAATTGTCCAAAGTTGTATCTATGCGCTAATAAACATGCTTCCAAACGACGCGACGCTCAAAGTTCTGTCACCAAAACATCACACCACACATTCACTGAAAACCGTTGCTGGAACCGAGATTTCTGTGCAACGTGAGGATTTGTGTCACACCAAATGTGTCTCATTTAAATTGTATTGACATTCTCCGTACATTGACATCATATTTTGATCGGAAAACATTTTATACATGGCTAAGTAATACTGCAATACACAACGCACGTGCACAAGATGCACAGGGTCGGCTTACATTTATGGTTAATTTTCTTAATTCATTTTCTCGAAATTTAGATCAGTTCAGGATCATCCTGTATACACCTACAGTCTGATCATGACAGAATTTCGTTGGACAATCTTTCTTGGCACTAATTTCTGAAAATCTTTAAGGCGTTAGAAAATTGTTTCCGTTAATTTTTTTGGAAAGTGGTGACAATTACTTTATTTTATTACAACATATCCTTTATTTGTTTATATGGAATTCAAAAGCTAAGTAATAGTTGTGCTAATATTCCAAATTGAAGACTTATCTTCAAACGTGAACAAGATATATACCTGAAACCTTCCCTGAAGAAGAAGCGCCTGCGGATAACATGGTTAACAACTTGTTAAAAACTCAATTATAATACGGGTCCAGATGTAAATAATGCGAAATTTCATTGCACGTGACTCGAATACGCAGCGAATTCTATCGCGAATTTCCCTATTTCCAGCAACAAACTCTTGCTGGGTCTACTAAGTGATTGTATTCCCTCCTAGAGGGGGATTATGGACCTAACAAACCATGGAATCATCGTGATAGGTGAAAAAACCTTATATACCTAGAAAAACAGATCCGATTCAGTCATATTTTAGAATTTAATTATGTTTGTAGGTCCGAATATAATAAAATAAAACAGTCGACGAGTCTGTGACCACAAAAATGTGTGTTTTAGAAAAACATACAAATTTATCAAGTCTGACATAAAAAACTTAACCAAGGAACATTGAAATAACTCATGTGGGTAAATCTTATTAGCTCTAGGAGAATCTTTAAGAACGAAACATGTATTGACTTGGAAATCCGGAAAAGATAAAGTAACCTCTACTTACTAGCCTTACGAAAATAACTTTAAATTATACAGTGTGTTCCCGGATGGACCTAACTATACTTGCAATTTTCCTTATTTCGCATTTTAAGGGAAAAAGTCATTCTTCGTAAAAAGTTTTACTTGTCGTGAGAAATCATTAGCCATACCCAGAGTTTCAAAATAACGTATATGGTGGTTAGCAAACAAGGAAACGTGAATTTGTGCCAATAGTGGTGTTAGTTTTTTGAGAGAAATTTAAAAATGTTACTGAAAGAAGTTGTTTCTAATGTTAATAGTAGTCCAGATATGAAATTTGAACGTCGTATCTCAAAGTTGATATTTTTGCGAAAATTATGATTAAAACAATTTCATAAATTTAACGAAAGCGCACAATTTATTAAATAATAACAAAACTATTGTATGTGTTGTATCCATAACAACACACACTAATATTTATTTATAATAGCTGTTTTACATTGACAATTTATTCATGAATTAACTGACGAAGTTCTTCATGAATTAATTCACGAATTTATTGGTAAACAGTGCCTTTTTACACTGCTACAGACTTTGTC